CTTCGGTTGTGAATTTTCGATTCGAGCTCTATATCTCTCGATATTTACGAAAAACTGTTAGCGGCGGCCATCTTGTGACGTCATGCTCGTGAGATTGACACCACTCTGGCCGAATATTGCAAATATCTCCGCAATAACTGCAAAACGGATATTTCTACAACCGAAGCCCAGTCGTTTAGTCTTTCCGGAATCTAAATTTTCCACTTGTGAACTGCATACTTCGATATTAAAGCGTCAGTTTTGGTCGATAGAAACCTCTAAAACTAATATACGTATATGGTTTTCTTGTATGTGTGGCTCGTCATAGTGCCTCCCTTAAGGGCGGAGGGGGGGGGGGGCATTCAGCTGAAAATCAAATATACTAGTAATTTTCCAAATAAAATTTTGAAAAAATATATACCCATAGTATTTTTTACTCGGTATCGAATTCTATAAAAATTAATTTTCCAACTTCTGTTTTTGAGTTACGAAACAAATATTTTGTATGGAAAAATTATCGGATCGATTACACAATTTTATACGAAATTATATGTGTACACATTTTTCTTCAATATCACGTGCACAAATCGAAGTACAAATATCGGCTTGAAAACTTCATTTTTGTTCAAGTTATTTTGATTTTGACATTAATTAACTGCACCGTAGATGAGGCCTTGTATATCACCAGAATTTTGTGAGACGAAATTATTATTGCTGTCCGTTTGCAGTATGTTATTTCTCCCGATAATATTGCCATCGTTTCCTTTGTTTGCTACGGTTTATTTCATTATTTTCCTTCTGTCTGCGCATTTTTATGATCGAAAACTTTCTAAATTACGGAAATTATCGGAGTACACCTCGATCACTGAAAGATCTTTCACAAACTGAAATCAGTTTTATACATTTCCCTTATGTTTACATAGTATAGAGTATAAGTCAGCGTCAGTAGATTTGACAAAATATTTGCATTTCTAACATTCATCATGTGTCAATATACAGGGTGTTCCTCTTATTCTGCACATTCAAATATCATCGTCAATTTTGTTTATACGAAGAAATCCTAACAAATTTGTTTAGTTCAAAGGTAGGAATATTATGATTGATGGGTTCTTACTTTCAAAATCAATTTTTTTTTCGAGTTTTGAAGATCGTACTACAATTCTGTATCATAAACAATAGGTGTTAATGCACAAAAAGTGACGACGACCTTTAAAACTCGGAAAGAAATGAAAAAGAAACCAAACAAATTTATTAGGACGCATTTTTTCATACAAACAAAATTAACGAAGATATTTGAATGTGCAGGATAAAAGAAACACCTTATATACAGCTATAGTGCAATTAATTACTGCTAAAAATTAATAAAATTAAAAATTAAAAATTATATAAAAAGAATTATAAAAATTAAAATAGCTCGAACAAAGACGAGGTTTTCGAGTTGAAATTGTTACTATGATTTGTTTACATGATAGTGAAGAACATTGTGTCCGGATTTTGCAATCCGATAATTTTTTCACAAAAAAAATTTTTTTGTCACTCTGAAATGAAAATTGGAAAATTAAGTTGTACATATTTGGATTCTGCGTATAAAATACTATACAAATATATTTTTTCAAAATTTTATTTGGTATGTTACTAGTATTTGATTTAACGACTAACGACTAACCTTTGCTATAACACTTCAACGAAATTTTATTGTTAAGCAAATCACTGTACGCGCCCTCTATCAGTGTTATCTAAAAAAGTGTAGGTTTTAATTGGAGGGAAGCGGTGCTGACTGTTGTTTTAAAATGTTTAAACAATATTCAGTTATTTTTGAAACGAAAATAATGAATACTATAATATACGTGAGATCCTTTTAAAGTTGTGTTGTTGGCTATGTATGTAATTTCCATACGGTGTGCACACACAGTGAAGGTTACTATTTTAATTTTATTTTTATTTATATTTCTTGTTCCGCGTTAGCGAAGTGTGAAGTGATCTCCGACATGTTTTTTGCTGTTCGAGCTCGATCGTGGTTCTAATGCTGTCTGCAATAGTTCTCTTGTGCATCATACCCCTAATATTTAAAAGTCTGCCTTTGAATATTTGAAGATCTCCCTAAAATAATTTCGCTTCTTCAATCCTGCTGCTCGCGCGGTACAAGGTGTGGTTAGAAAGAAACTATACGTACAGTAATTGAGCCGTTTATTTTGAAAGTGGCATAAGTCACTTTGTTTTTAAGTCGATATATTTAAGGGTTTGTGTGTTTTAACACGTTTAAAAATATGGATGCTAACTTTCGAGAAGATTTACTTGTATTTGTTATCTCAGGATACTGATATTTTTCACAGTATAGATAATTTCGTATAAACATTAAAAAATCACCACTTTTCATTACGGTAAAGTGACTTAAGCCACTTTCAATATAAATAGTTTAGAAAAATCACTGACATATATTAATTTTGTCCGACGTATTTTACCGAAGTGATGTTTTGAAAGGACAGTGATTTACTAAAATTGTTGAATAAATTACATATATAATAATAATTTATACCATGAACATATTTAATATAAAGGTTTGATTTAAGTATTTTTTATTTTAATATTCATAAAATACAAAAATAATTTGTACATTTTGAAACATAAGTATAAGTAATTTATATGAAAATACATCAGTTCAATTTCATTTTCGTCATCAATAGGAGTGATTAAGTCCTCGGAAATC